TTGTTTTTATCAAGTAAATTGTGATTTATTAATACAGGGAGCTTGTGAATGAATTAATGAATGTGAATATGCTATTGTTTTGGGTGTATAAGCCTGTTAATTATCAAAATTTAAAAAAATACATAAAAAATCACTTTGAAGAATGCAATTTATGTTTATGTATGTACAATTAGGAAAAGTAAGGATTCCTGGGGGTCCTTTTAACATAACCGCCTATAAATGATTTAACTCTTATCTAAAATTAGTCATGACACTGCGGTATTAAGGCACTTTAAGTAACCAAATAATTTCATAGAGATGTTGGTTGTATTTCTTAATAATGATTGTATATCCTACATTCAAATGCTTAGGATTATAACTGAGCTGAAGATTTACCTGCATGTGCTAAAAATAGATCTTTCAAAAATCCCAATTCCTTAGTGAGAACTTTAATTTTTTCTTCCAACATTTCATTCTCTGTCTTAAGTTTTTGAACTCTTTCCAAAGTTTGTTGTGTTCGTAACTTACTTTTCACACGGCTACGTTTAACAGCCTGAAAATAAAGACAACTTTGAGAAATGTCTCAAAACCTACGATACTTGTTTCACACAAACATTTTAAAATAATGTTGCAATCCCTGAATTTCAATTATTCTCGAAAACACTAATTAAAAAAGCTTGAACATTTTGCTTCATCTAACTTATACACTCATATAAGGGCAAATAAAAAAAAAAATTTTAACACATACTTTACTAAAATTCACGCATAAAAATGTTGATTTTTTAAGAAATATTCAAAAGAAGTTGCACAACAAATGAAACATGCCCTGTTCATAGAAGTGCTTTTGTTACCAATTTAAAAAGTCAAATGTCAACTGCTGGTAAAACTCTTTTGCTACAGTGATGTAAAATATACTTTTAGTGACTTTTTTACAGTAGATTGGACTCTTCCAATCAACAAGTGAAGACATGAAGTAGTGTAGCAAACAACCCTCTCCCAATTAAATTACATACACAATTGACAGTCATTGGTAACAACCAATCAAAACATTCAATTGGATACTTCATACCTCTTCAAGCTCAAGGCTTGAAGGCACCTGTAGAAATAAGAGATCAAAAGTATCAATAGTTTAATCCAACCATAGAAAAAAAACAACAAGTCTCGTCATTTAAGCGACTTGTCTTTTGAAGAATTTCAAAGAAATGATCATTAAAAAATTACAAAAAAGTTTTTTTAGTTAAAAATAACAACTAACCGCTTCAGAAACAAAAGAATATCTCACAACCTGTATCTGCACACAAAACTGATAACTGCACAAGGGAGTCTTTCCAAGTTCTTCTGTTAACAGCATAATTAGGTGTACAAAAAATGCATTAGTACTTAAATCATGCAAACTACATTAAAACCTCTCAGGTTTGAATACCCCTGCATATTCTGCAGATAATACACTGAATATAATTATTGAATATAACTACTCTGGACATTTTGCATGGAAGAAAATCCTTCAAGTTTCTCTGCAGTCGTATTACCTGTATAAATACACCAGCCTTAAGATGTCAAAATACTTAATATCTCCATTCTGATTTCAATGTGATCTTTTACTGTTCATAAATGACACCAACCTAACCTTTTTACTCCCCTCAGGACTGACATAAGTCTTCAACAACACTTCTAATAAATAGAATGTCAATAAAAAGATTCACCTGGTTGTTGCGATCTCGTCGCCTTCTGTAATCTTCATCATTTCCTTCTGCTCCACTACTGTGACCGCTCGTTCTATCTTCACTCCTTCTCCTTCCTTTGCCACTTTTCTTCTGACCTGCACTGCTGTTTTCTTTGTTTCGTGGTGCCATGACTTCTTAATAAATTGCAAAGCAATCACAAAAAAAACAAATACAAGTATTGTGACAATTCTTGTTGAAAATTGACAACACCCAAGTTGTCACATTTGTTTAATCAATACTGTCGATCCTGGAAAAAAAAGGCGGTTTTCTTAACTACTGTTAACCTTGCCAGATTTGTAGTGTAATACTTCATTGTCAAATTTTCTGAACTACTTGTGGCATTAAGGTCAACACCCAAATACACATTTCCTTTTTTTTCTCTTTAAGAGAATGTCCTTGTGATAATTAAGCTAACTTTCGGGAAATAAAAAACTGGATTAAACGTAAAACAAATCCTGAATACAAAAACATCGTTTCGAGAGCATCTGTTTACTTCTTTTACGGGAAACATGCAGCCCTTGATGTTTCGCGAAGATAAAGCCACAGTTGATAAAAATATGGGTAAAATACTTACAATAAATCTTCTCATTCCTATTTCGCAATAATACTCCTTCACGTGATCAACATCACAATCACATTCCCTGTCAGGAGTCTGCGTTTCGCGCTTCAACTTCCCTTCATTCTGTTCTCTCCGCCATGTTTCGAAAGGTGAAATATGTTGAAAACTGGCCTTGAGCATTCGGATTGGTTACGCATCAAATGACATCAGTGCAGCAGGCAGAATCTGAATTATGCTAGATCAAGCTTATGGGGAATATAGAATAGAGCGCAAAAGTTGTATACATATAAGTTGACAATTTTCGACCTAGTATCTCGATAAACAAGAATTAAAAAATTGCGCAGTATTGCGCAATTGCACGATTATGCATCATGATCTGCGTTCATCGAAGATTCCAAGATATCTCGAGCATGCTGCATTCGGCTATGCTAATAACATGAGAGTTAAGTAATACTTTGAGCTGTCGCTACTCTTGCCATCATTCTTGCATTAAACCCTCGAGCAGGGTCTATCCCTAATCGAAGAGCGAAGGAGATTTTTCTTCCTATTTTTTTAATTTAATTTTTAGCTGTCATTAGTTTGCATGTCGTGCACAGTGAATCTGCTTATTTACCATTAGACTACTAGCGCTTTTGTCAATAATTTGTAGATTAAATTCAAATTGTATAGTTATTTTCATTTTATGGGAATAATGTAAACCGAAATATTAAATTAATATTCTCAGAATTTCTCATGGCATATTTGTGTTAATCGTAAATTTAATTGACCTCTATGCTTATGCAATATATCAATGCGAGGTAAATACACTTTTTTTAGAAGTAATAAGTTGGTCTGACTTTCATTTTAAAGGCATTGCACTGGGGATTATACTAAGATTTATTTACTCAAGCACTTGACGTAAATCAGCTGTTCACGGTTTTACACAATCGGATGCTTGAACGTCCCTATAGTGACATTACTGTAGTGGCATTTAAACTCCCGATTGGTTGAAACCGCACCAGCTGATTTACGTCAAGTCTACGACTACATAAATCGTACTATAGCTAAGGGTTCGCACACGTCCCAACGGGATCGTCCAGTTTTTCCAAGAACGGTCCCTCGACCCTTGCTTGAGAAACTTTGTCAGGACTCCAAAAGGTTTCGTATTTATATTTCGAAAACATTGTAATATGTAGAAACAGTTACCGCATTCAAACGAAAGCCGTGATCATTGTCTACGAGATTTTTGTTGCTGTTTCCTTTTTCCAATATCTTACGAGTTAATTCCTAGCGAAAATCGAAAATTTAAAAATTAGTTATTTATGTTACAAATCTTGTAAATTAGTCTTTCAGTACGAGGCCGATACGTAGTTAACCTTCCGGTCGTGTCCTTAAAGAAGTCTTTAAAACGTGACACTTTTTTTGTAACCTATTTCTAGTTTATTACTAATTAAAAATAAACATTTAACACTTTCATGACAGATTTTTTTTAAAATTTAAGGTCACATCAAATTCCAGATTATTAGCGGCCACTATTGCTTGTAATACTGTGGTAAATATAAGAATGACACGATATGATGATAGGGGGTGAAAGGACGAACACAATACAATCATGCCCGAGGCGGGACTCGAACCCGCGACCCTTTGGTCTGAAGCGCTGAATCGGTATTATCCACGCACCTTCTTGAGCCTACGTGTCGATATTTGCGAAAGGTGTGGGGAGTTTGGTTATTTTGACTAAATGAATTTCGTATCAAATTTGTAGTAAGTTTTTCAATGGAAAATAGTTTCTATTTTGTCTCGTTGCTATAATTTATTCTTAATTTAACTACTTCTAATGAAGATAAATGTCACTGCTTCAAACGGCATTACATTCTGTGGAAAGTTAAAAAAAAAATTGTGACACTAATAAATCCGAACCAAAAAATTGTAAATTTAAAGTGTGTTTAAGGCGAATTGGAGTACATTGATGCATTGGGCTTATTTATACACCCACTCCACTGCTCACAAGGTTATTACCAGAGAGTGTATAACACAGGTCATTACAGAAAGTTTCACAACAGCTCCAAAAGAGGGCTCTAGTATTCACAGCTATCTAAAGAACAAGACTGGAACAAGGCCATCTCTAGAGAAGCTTCCTATATTCCACATTAAATTGGCCGTTTAATGTGAAAGTATTAAGATATTCAATTGTCTATAATCCCATTGGATTATATCCAATTCTCATTTTAAAATATTAAGACAATCATTAGGAATAAGAATTACATTTACTTTCAAGTTAATCATTATTTTTTATTATATTTTCAATTTATCAGAAGTTATAGAACTGGAAGTTTTGGACAGTTTCAATTTCATTTTTCATTTGTGGCCTGATCACAAAACCAACATTTTGAAGTATTAACTTTTTTGAACTTTTATCTTATTTTACTTCCCAACAAAGGTTAACAATTTCATTTTAAAAGCATGATTCCAGTTGACCAGTGCAATGAAAATTTAAAGAAAAAGAGAATATCCTATTACTCATGTGCAATTTGTAATTTCCCAACACCTCTAAAACAAAATGTTGCTGTCCTTGGGTACAGTACGCTATTCCCATGATATACCCAGATTTGGATGACATTTCTTACAGAATAGTCATTTATTTGAAACAGTCAATACCTTAATCCACACCATCTTTAGGGACACAAAGATACATGTGCAACTAAAGTGTGTAAACTTTTCTTGAAAAAGAGGGTGATAGGTAGATAATAGCCAACACATTATAATTAGTTTAAGGAATTTACTTGTCATTAAAAAAGGTAACAGCAATGGAAGGCAGGGAAACAGAAATGTAACACAACACACAACAGTGCAAATGGAATATAATAATTATTTCTAAAATAACCACATCAGCTATAATTATTGTCATTTAATAGAATGACTATTTTTTTCTGAATTTTGGCATGTTATGAGAAAACACTTATACATTCACACAAATTAATGCAATCATGCTCCAAGATATTCACTTGTGGGTGGTCATAAGTAAAGAGAAATAAGTTCTAATTATTCCAATGGATTATTACATTTCAGATTTAGGCAAATGAAAACCTAACAGTACATTATTACACAAATCTAATAGTATGTTTTTACTTTCCATTCTGATTAAAATTTTCAGGGGTAGTAGACATTGCAGCATGAAAGTCAGGTGAACTACACTTAACCACATGTATCTGTAGATTTCTAGAATACAGTAATAATTCTTTCACAAAGTTTGGAAATTCTATTTTCATTAAGTGTGATTTTCAAAAAATAAATACACAAATAGCCAACATTTACTTAACACAATATGAAACACAGCCAGTTTTCTTTGGCACAGAATGTAAGTCAGAGAAAGAATAGTATCCTTTAAAGCAATGACTGACCCATTGGCACCCCTTCTACTATCAATGATTTTTAGATTTTTTAAAACCTATAATAAGTTTTTCGTCAAAAAGTAGATATTGTGAATATTTTTTTTACTTATTGTTGGAATACAGCTTTTAAGAGAGACAAAATTGTTGTAATAAATGTGTCAGTTATCGCATAGTATTGCTGGTAATACAAGAGTAATAATTGTTCATACATCCTTTATTTTATCATATACATTTACAAATACCCAGTAACAAATTTTCTTTTATGCATGAGCTTTAGTTTTTCATTCTATTTGTTGGTTTACATTTTGGTAATAATTTAGAGACCTACTGAGCGTTTTTTTCACAATAGGGGAGAAAATTTAGTGACAAGAAAAACTTGTACAAATAATAGTTCTCTTTGCATTTGAAATTAGTAAACTGTACACCTATCTTCCAAAATCATTTTGTCACACATTTACTGCAAAGCACTATCAATCTCCATATTATTACAAATAAATATTCAGTAAATAGAGCATACTTCTTCAAAGACACTCACAACTCTTGTGTAAGAGCTTAAGAATGATAAGAGCACCTGAGAGAAATGAGGAATATGAATCTTGCCTCATATTTTATTTTATTCAATAACCAATCTCTGAAAAAGGGGGAAAAACAAAACAAAAACAAAAAAACCTATTGACATATCAAAATAAAATTGTCCCTCACAACCTTCAATGAACTGGACAGGATAGTTATGCACTACATTCAAAATGTTATGGTTAATTTGTTTGGAAATATCAAATAGAAGTTTAATAGTTATCAAGTTTTCATCAGTAACAATTCAATCAATACTTCCAAACTCTAAAAGGAGAAAATAGGACATTTTCATAGAACTATAATAGATTATGTTTTAAAAAAAATTTCTCTTATGCATTATAAATGCATAAGCTAATGGCATAAAATTACTTCTTGTTTGAATTGATTGTATATACATTACACATTCACAAAAAGCTTGCATAACTACCTTGTCATAATAACCATAGGCCACATCTGTTTCATACTTGAATTTATTCTCCTCATACCTGAAAACTAGATATTTCATGAAAGGGTGTTTGAATTGATAATTTTGGTGCAAAAATTTTCACAATTCAATAATTCTCATGTGATAGGAAAGAAAAACCTGAAGCAAACAAAATAATGTTCAAAAAATATTAAATACAGTTAGAATTTGAGAAAAGTAACTTCAACTTTTCAAAATAGTTTGATGCAAGAGAAAAAGATATTGAAATGGAAGAATAAATTCAAGTTGCAGTTAAATTATATTTTATGTGCACTATTAACGGCTAAAGTCTATTTGATGATTTCATCCTGGATTTTAATTTGTACATTATACCTTTGGTCATTTTACTAGTTTTTAATACATTAACACACAAGTTGTGCTCACCATGATCTGACCAAGTACACGTGTTATAATTAATTTTCATGCTGCAAACTACATATTGGTATTTGATGTTAAAATTCAATCATGTTGTTATACTAAACAATGCTTTAGAAAAAGAATTCAACTTATTTGCTGCAAGGATGTCTCTTTGATATTCTATCAGACACTTTTTTATGAATACTGTTCTTTGTTTTATTATCTCAATGCGGTATATCTCTCTTCTAAAGCAGATTCTTTATGTGTAGTTTTCCTCAAATCACAAATCTTTCAAGAGTTCACTGCTGTAGGCCTTTCTTCTTGAGGTCCTGGTCTGATATTCACAGCCAAATTTCAGGGTAGTATTATTGAAGCATTTAAATATTCAAAAATAAGGTCTTGCAAACAAATAATGAAGGTTGGCTGAATCACATCATAAAAGTACTAACAAAAGGATTCCTTGTAAACAAATTTAAGTAGTACTGTTAATCCAGGAAAAATCTACACTTTTGTGCTTGAGGCCTGTGAAATCTTCCATCTTAATTGTAGAGAAAGAATGAAACATGAGAAAGCACCATTTGTTTGTACAAAGAAGAATCTGTTTCTAAAGGTGAAAATTACATTAGTAACAAAAAATGAGAAATTATGTGATTCTTTATTGAACAAGGAAATTCAGTGTTACTATGCTGTAAAGAATTATCAAAATGTGTATTTACAGGAGATAAAATTGCCATTCTCAACACATTTAATTCATCTTCTATTCCCGGCAGCACCTAAATTCTCTTTGTAAATTACAGTTGTATCAATCTAAAACCCAACTGCTAAAGAACCAATTTTTTTCATTACACTGTATAATTATCCCAAAGAATTATTTCACTTACATTTATATATACACACAAATTCTCTCACTAACACTCAAAAAATGACTAATCTCAATGCTGTGACAACTTGAGAAACGTTTTCTGGTGTATTTTCAAGAAATGGAACTCGTGTCTTATTTTTTCTCAATTCCTTTTGTCCTTCAGAGTAACATGTGCAATTACAAAAAAATACACACAGGTTGAAGGAGCACTAAATTATATAAAGAACTGCATCAACAGGTATAATTTGCATAACAATATGCAAATATTGCTATTTTATGAAATAATTCACTTTTCTTGTTTTTATTAGTGTGAAAAATGTTAAACAAGATCTATAACAATGAGACTGAAAACGATCCAATACAAATTACATGGCTATGAAATCTTTGGCTTCACTGTCTTTGAAGATTACTCTAGATAATTTTATGCATTAATAGAAAGTGCTGAAATCCCATAAAACTATTGAAGCAAAGATTTATTAGGCCCAGTCAGACAAGGCAAATTAAAACTTAAAACATTTTGTATAAAGTATTTACAAAGAGTCAGATTGCAAAGTCATGTCAGAATTGTTTAAATTATGTACTTTAATACAATATTTTAAGACAGCAAAATAATATTGATTACAACAATATTTATCTTGATTTAAAAGAAACATCTGTTGTAACACATTAAATCAAAAATGTTTAAATGGAATTTCATAATAGTGAAAGTATAATATACAGAACTAAAATTTCTGTAGTTAAATAAACTGTAATAAAATAACTTATCATTTTCATACATTTTAAAGACTATTCTTGGAATTAATTTTTACCAGAAAATCTTATATTTTTCTCAAACAACAAAAATAAATTGAATTTGTACAATACATAACACAAAAACAAATATCAGAAGCAATGTAATTTTGTCATTCGATGTGTCACTTAAGATAAATATTTCTAAGCAAATATCACGAAATACATATACGCACTTTTAGGCAACTGGTACTGTCTGCGTATACAAATTTTTCTTTTTTATCTAAATGTTACAGTAGGAAAATTCACATTTAGAGAGAAAAAGTCAAAAGTAAAGTATTTGAAATTGGTCATCACATTTCTTTCTGTTCATAAAATTAAAGCTCTTCATATTCAGTACAATACAATTTTTAATTTGGGAAACTAACACATAAAAGAACATCCATACTTTACCCAGTCACTAGATTGCACTCACTTCAAACAATACATATAACTTCCAGACTGGTTGGAGTTTGTAATTGATACTTCAGCTTTTCTCTCAGGTTATGAAGCACAAAAACTCATCCAATTGCAACAATACTTCCCTGATCATTGGTATTACTTTCTCAATATTCTGGAAGTCATAAATATTGTTGTCTAATATATGAATTTAACAGTTACTCATATAAGTAAGCATTGTCACTCATTTCTTTCATCCTATACTACTCTCGAGGTACTGTATGTCTTCCTCATATCAATCATTCTTCTTCTTGCATTTAGAAGCACATATGAAAACATAAACCACTCAATGAAGTATTTCTTAAATTTACTTGAATTTATTGAGATACTCCACAAAATTCTTTTGCTCAAAATTAAAATCCTCTTGCAGCCCACTCCCTCCTATATCTTAAAGCCCCCAGTTTGGTAGAATGCATAATGAGATGCAGAATGTATTTTGGCAACATAAAAGGGGTGTGGAAAAAATTGGCAGTGTTGTTGATACCAGCACCACAGCAATGTCTCTCTATTTCCATGAATTTATCCAGTACTTTCTTTTACAGACCTATAAGACAATTGGTCCACAGAAGTTTTGTTGAGATTATGTTTTCTGTGCAATGTTCCTTTCTAAATAATTGAAAATTATCTTCAGAGTGAAAACTCACTTTCTCTTTGTAAATTCATTATTTTTCCCTTGTTGGAAACAACAAAGGATTCTTAGTAATGTTTCTTTCTTCTTTCTCTAGGGTCTCATGTCTTTCAGTTGTCCAAAATACTTATTTTTTTGATGGTCCACAACCCCTTTAAATGTTTACCTAAAGCCAAGAGTAAACAGAGAAATCCACTAATTTACAACTCAGTAACCAGATAGCCACTTTCCTTTTCTTTATCATTCTCTTTCTCTTTTTCAATTTCTTCCTTTTGATGAATGTCTGTTGACTCTAGTGGCTTTTTAACCAATGTTGTTGGCTCCACAGGCTCCAGGATACCATCTGGTGAATGAATGATGACCTGGTTAGCAGCTCGAAGTTCTTCACTATTGTCACTAGGATGCACCCGTGGCAATGAACCATGACTTGCAAGTTCGCATTCTGGAGTAGCTGTGGAAGTTGCTTGGTACAGGGGAGGTTCTGGCAATGGCACCGAGGCAATTGGATAGAGGGAGTGGGCAGGCTCTCAGTAAAAATCTGAGGATTCCAGTGTTTTACACTGCTTGCTCAGAGTCGCGTACTGCCCATGGTTGGGTCCAAGCATTGCAGGGCCTCCGGAGCTAGGCTCGTGGCTTCCGATGCCTGCTGGCTCATGATGGGAACTGTGCTGGGACTTTTCCTCGCGGGTACTCCGGCCATCTCTGTAATAGAGAAGGACAGGGTAATCAAACAACCTATAGAGATATAACCTAGATTTGTAAATCTATCCAATAAAAAGTAAAAGAGCAGCTCACATCAACCATAAATTATGGTTGTGCATTCATTATGATTGTCTTTCTAATTAATTACAGGATGTGTGTGTTTAGCTAATATTAATTTTTAATAACTTTTTGCATTTATGTGTTAGTTAATTTGTTTTCATTCATAATAATACTACATCATTATTTATTATGTTTTGAATATACTTCTATACAATGAAAAACAATAATTAAAAAATGTATTTTAGAAAGAAAACATCACTGACAGTACTACTCTTAATACTAATTTATTTCAATTTCATATTCACATGGTCAAGTTATGTGATATGAAAATGTAATTATTAATGTTTGTATACATTGAAATAATATGTACAAACATTAATAGTTAGTGACTTGTTGATTACCAGAATACCAACATGCTACAGTCTGTTCATGAAAAAGGAAGAGACAAATGAATCCTTTCCTTGAACACAATACTCCTCTAATTCATCTTCAAAATTTAAAAAACTATGGCTTAAAGTCTCATATCAATAACAAACCAGAAAACTATGGGTCTTTTTCAACAATAAACATACATTAATAGCTTCTAGTGCTTTGTTGTAAAAACAACAACAAAACATACAGATGCAATGTGAGTTTGTTCTCTGTATGTAAAAAAAACAGTATCATATTGACCATTCTGTAAAGACAAATAATTATATTTAAATGAGTGTGAAATAAGAAACAGTTGCCAAGATATACTTTCTAATTTAGACAAGTAGTTTGGAAGTTAAAAATTTAATTTTTGACACAAATAAATGTCTATTTTTCATCAAGAAATTATATATTGATGAATAAGAAACAATACCACCATTTTATTCAAAACTGAACTTACTTTCTGAAATCGAAATAGTCCCTTAAACACATACAATAAAAAATGTTTTATTTTGTTAAAATAGGTCTTTTGCATTGAGCAACATAAATTAAAAATAATTTATACATGTATTTAATGTATGTGGAAGAATAAGTTTATTATTTTTGGTCTTCAATAAAATTATTATTTTGGAGATATACGAGTACTGTTTCTTAAGCACCATTAAGTTTTCAGATTAATTAAAAAAGAAACAAGAAAAGATAGAGAGATGTTTTGGTTAAGTTCACGGCTCAAAATTTCAAATTTCAGTGAGAAAATAAAAGAGATGTCATATGTTACTTTAAAATTTTGGGATTTCTTCCCAAACAAGGAGTGTAAACCATTTTAAATTAATTTGATTGATTAGTAGGTCCCTATGTAGTGCAAGCAAACGTTTCATTCTAATTATGAAAATATCAATGTATTAGTAGAAAAATGTATAAAAATGACATTACATGCATACATATTAGAAACCTAGCAACACAATGAAGATGCAGAAGCTTCAACTTTTCTTTTAGTAGTCATTTAATATTTTCTAAACAATTCCAAAGAACTTGGAAAAGTAAGTAGAAGCCAGTTCCCAGTAGACTTTGACATATATTAGCATTACAAATACGTAAATAATCAACATTAAATGGAAAAATGCATCTCCTGAAGGAGGTAAATACCATGATTATGTTAGTGCAACTTGCCTTCATAGCGGTGAAGATATTTTATGAAGGAAATCTCTCACTTCAAAAGAAAATGGAGCCAAATGTGGGATGCTTGATTATGTCTAACTTATGTCTCAAACCATACATGAGTGATATCAGTTGGATCATGTGTACAGATTGGAAGAAAACATTATAATGAACATAGTTTGTCAATTTACATTTATTTTTGGAGCTTCTGTTACACTATCTTCTTTCAGTTGCTAGGCTACTTATGCAGTCAGTGCTTTAAAAATATTTCTCATATCTCGACTCCCCCAAAGTATCACAACAGAAGAATCATTGTGAAATGAAAATTTCTACACATAGATGACTAAAATTTTGCAATAATGGAAGAAATAAAAATTAAATAAATTACTGAAATACATTGGTGAATGAATGCAGTGCTAAGCTTCTGAAATGTAAAGGCAGGACAATAGTAAATAATTCACCTAAAATATGTGTCTGAAAAAATCAAATTAGATAAATCTGTAAGACAATAAGAACATATAAATATAAAAGTGAAGGTACAGAATTTGTAGTTGAAATTTCAAGGAAGAAATTTGGTTTTTGGAAATTCAATTACAGGCCATGGATATTAGGAGAGAACATGGATTCAAAACAGAACCATGCTGCAAAAAAGGCTAACATTCTCTACTAGCATTATATAAAAATCTACAAAGTAAATTCAATTTAGAAAACATGCAGGCATTTCATACAACTGCATTATCATAAAATAAAAATCTTAATTACATTAAGTAAGCAAAACTCTTCGGCACACATTAACATGCATAAGGATTCACTTCTGTACTATTGTTTCTCATACTTGCTCATTTTTATCAATAAAAGGTACAAAATGTTTCATCTGGAGAGCATACTTTAAAATTGTGAATAGGTAGCAACTTTAAACCAAAATTTTAATTTCGGAGAAATAAAAATTAAGAGAGTGATATATTTTTACAAAAACTACTCAATACTTATCAGGAAAAATTAAGAAAAAGCAAACAAGTTCTCGTCTTTTTTTGAATTAAAAAAAAGAAGTCAATTACTAAAGCAAAATAGCTACTTTTCTTATCATTAAGGCTTTTCAAAGGATGAGGAACTAAAAAATTACAAATTAGCTGGAAACAACCACAAAATTACTACAGTGGAAAAAATTTAATTTTTTCAGACATTCTTTTCAACATGCCTCTATGTTAAAATCAACCATTATACAAACATGCATTTTTAAAAATGTTTTTACTTTTTAGAGCTGGTGAAAGATATTGTTTCCCTAAGAAATAATATTTTTAACAACTATTTATGTGAACTGTATTATTGTAAATTTATTTAATTTGTATATATTACTAATCAATTAATGAATATTTTTTGATGTTCCAAAGAGAGAGAAAAGAAAAAGTTTTAAAAAAATTTAACAAAACATAATTTGTATAGCATTCTTTCAACCAACCCCATTTGAAAATAGAGTGCAATCTAATCTCAAGTGATAAAGGAGCTAGTTACTGACTAAAGCACAAATAGCAAATTAAGTTAATACTATGAACCCGAACTGAAAGAATAAAAATAAAATATTGCCCATAAATATCTTATAATTTTATTACTTTAAAGTGAACAACCCAAATAAGTTAGCAGACCAAAGGACAAAATATCAAAAGCAACTTAGCACCAATGAACTCACTTCAAAATGATCAATTCAGAAGTAAATATAGAATTTATTTCAATTAGAACATAACTTTCAATATTCAATTTTGCTGTCCATCAGAATATTAAAATTACATCAGAATATTGAAAGTAAATGAAAATGAATTTCCATTTTAAAAATCTTTTTAAGACTTTTTTTAAAAACAAAGGAAATTCCAAAGAAATTAAATGATTCAAAATCCATGCAGTTCAGTTCAGTATTTTTGATTTACTTGGGCTGTTTTAATGGCTGTGAATATTAAAAACAGACTCAGCCGAATTTGAAACGTGAAGCTTTACAAACCAACCGCTGAAACAGATAACAGACAATTTGCTAGTTACCGAGTACTAACTTTACATATTTGCCATTGCCATAATTATATTTCAGTGAGTGTAAGATCTTCCAACTCCATAATAGGGCAGAGAGTTTTCTTGAACTGTCAATTATTTTATCATTTGTGATGACAATAATAACAGCATTATAACACACTACTACTGAATGGGCAACATTTTCTGGAGAACAAACTCAAAATGCATAACATTGCAAAGTGAAGTAAACTAAAATTAAACTAAGCTACAGACTACAGCAACTAAACCATGCGACGTACAGGGTTCCTGGGTAGGGCAGCGTGGAAGGTGGGGTTTGGTGGTAATGAGGGGAGTAGCGCGGCCGGAAGAGCCCTGTGCTGCCATACGACCCTTGGCTGCGCAGCGTCCGAGCGGCGATTGCTTGTGAGGCAGCAGATGGCGGCAGGAATGGGTCCTGCTCGTCCACTTGCAGGTAATCCCGTCTGCAACAGACGCAGACAGCGCGCAAAGACGCATAGATATGCAGTTGTTATGCATCATATTTGGCTCCAAGGAGCTCCAAAATTGATTTTCTTTTCCTATAAAAGAAGCTGGGAAAACTTTGTTTGATCATCAGCACTACCTACTGGTTTATCCTTCACTTTCTTTCTTTACATACACAATTAAAATGAATACCGAATACCAACTAGAAACCTTTCAATGTAATAATTCAATTTTTTTAAGCACTGTACAGGGAAGGAAAATACTTCCATTGATGTTTAATAGTTGTTGAGAATTGTTTAACAGATGAGTGTTCATTCTTGGCTGTAGAAAATGCTTATCAAATGTGACTGTTAAGATCTGTTTCAATTACAAAGATTACATAATTTCTAAGGAAAACTGCCATTGACATCATTTTTTCAAGACCTTGAATTTCTGGTGTGTGTTTACAATGACATTCAACCAATTTCTTATGATGGATTTCAATTTTTCAAGTATATTTCCTGTCTTATGTTAACTTGACATATAAAAACTCCATGGTTTCAGTATAAACAATAAGTAGAGAAGAAAAAAGTTGAAATATTGAAGCTACTTAACTAAAGTAAAATATTTCTAAAATACATCTTTTTATGTACATTCAGTAAATGTCTTACTTTAACATTACATTTATTCTTGTTAAATTTCTTAAAAAAGAACACTTACTAATTACTACACACACTTAATAATTTGGAAGCCTTTTTATTTATACAACAATATAAAAAGATTCAAATCAAATTTGACAAATCACGTTTGACATTACCTTGTTTTCTCATACATTGTTTAATGCAAAAAACAAACTTCTGCATACTTTTTAAATGTTAAAAAACTTAGCAGCTATTCTTGATCTATTTTAAATGTTATACATTTATGAAAGTTATACATTTTTGATCATATCATTTTCTTGATCTTGGGCTTAAAAACCTATGATTTTATAATAATGGAGGGAGCAATGTTTTAATTAGGGGTGTATAAACTAAAATTATGTATATATACAAATTAGATGTAATAGATAAATTCAGTAGTGATCTTTACATATCCTTAAATACACATTCAGAGTCTACTTGTTAATATACATTTAAAGAACATTTCCACTAATTTGTAAATATTGAACAAATTAATTAGTTTTATTTAAAATTAGTTATCTATTACATTCTTTATTAAGTTTCTTAAATAACTTATTATTCTACTTCTTTTCTATAAAACCTATGAGTTATAGAGTACTAATGTGTCTCTTGTCTTAAAATATCAAAATTATTTTGATTGTGTCATGCACAATATTAAAAGACTGAGCATTATTGCCTTTGAGTCTGGAATTGATGCCTATATCATAGAGTTTAAGAGATGGTCAGAAAAGGATGCACTTATGCTTATGCAGGTAGAGCAGCACAGCATATTGTAGGTACACTGCACACTTAAGGCCAGGGGGCAGAGGCAAGGATATCCAAAAGCAATGAAGCATCAAAAACATCTATGCTTTCTCAAAAATAAGGTATGCCACTAATACAACAACATCCATGGCTAATGGGATAAGATGTGGTTGATTGAGTTGGATAACTGAGAAAAATAAGCAAATGGAAAAATGTAAGTTGATTTTCTGTGCAGTATCTTATCATAAAAAAAAAGTATTTTTATAAATCCTCAACAACTTTCAATAAGCAAGTTAACAGAAAGCTGAAGTAATATTAATGTGGGAAAATAGTATCACTCATAGTGGGCAATGAATCAAAGTTAAAACAAATAAAACGAAAGAAAACCATAAAATGTAATTCCCATTATTGTTATACAAATTTGAACAAGTTGATATTATATGTGATTTAGAGATTGAATTTTCCAAAAACACTTTCTTTTAAAAGAAGACTAAGAAAATGATTTCACATTGCTCAACCGTATCGCATTCTTCAGTCTTGATCATTTTCTCTTCATCATATGCTCAGAGTTAATAACCCTGTTGTTGGGGTGGGTCTTGGGATTAATCTAACTCTTAAATTCTTCAACATGAATTATTTATTTTTCTTAGCAAGGTATTTTATATGGGTTGTATTCTCGAGCATCAGAAAATAACAAGAATCTGTGTTCAACATTGGCTTCATCATCATCATCCATATTATCAATATTAAGATAAATTATAATTTAACTCACAAGAAGTAGATGTAGATACAAGTAGTAAGAACTGGCATGCCATGATGGTTGTATATATTCAAATTAAGCCTCTCTTTAAAAATAATTCACGATACCCCAATTTTATTTAGCGTCTCACATTCAATAGCATCCATTTAATTTCTTCACTGTCTCAAGCTCTTCATTTTTAAAAGTTAAAAGAGAGCTCTTCACATCATTCTGTTCATGACAGTACTTCACCGATAACCACAATGTGTATCCCTCCCAAAGCAGTAATTTCTTGAAGATTTCTGTTCAGTCTTCCTTGGTTCATTGGCATTTTGATTTCAAATAATTTCACTTATAGGTCAGCAATGTATTTCTCACATTTTACTTCAATGTCTACATTCATGCTCAAAGTTCCATTCCATAATTTTAAATTGTAGGCGAATATTCAGATATTCCTGAATGCTTTTATTTATTATTGAAACTTTTCAAATTCCTTGTAAAACTCACTTATTTGGTTCTTATTACCTACACAATTAAATGGGGTTTTGGGTATATTTCAATGGTAGATACAAGGGAAAATAAATGGGAGGATGGGAGAGCACATACAATCAGCAAGCAAGTATTCAACATTCCTGTTCTCATATGTCTGCTGATTTTTGTAAGTTTCATATTGCTTATATCTGTGTAATTATTGTGTTGAAGAAATTGTGGCTGTGTTTTTTATAATTTTTTATAAAATTATATGAATATTTTTTTTATAAAAAATTTAAAATTTGACATTTTCATCACCCCCAAAAATTTTTGACACTTCTCATATTCTGTCATTGTTTTCCTACTCCTCATGCTTGACTATGAGTTAAAAGGAAAGAAAGGACCAAATCACAAACTAAATAGAAGTGTCACTGATCAAAGAGAAATATGGAAAAGAAGTAGGAATTATGTTACAGAATTGTAACAGTTACTAGTATGATTTCAATCAACTTTTCACCTTTTGTAACTAATAAGAAAGAATAGTAGGGAAAAAAATCAACATCTAATACTTATTATAACAAACATATGTAGTCTACTGGTAAACTGAATGTTGAGACATTTGTATGGGAAGGGCAGATTAAGAATAATGTGACACGGAAGTGAATGAAAGGTGATTGTGGAAAACAAAATTAAAGCTTGGTAACCACACAGCACATCTAGATTGCTGAAAATGGATGCAAACTAAATCAAAATTGAAAATCAACTCTACATTATGAGTGAGACAGCAAAATAAAATAATAAAACATAAGAGAATAACAAATATTTCTAAATGCAAAATATTGAGGAAATATACCACTTAATTTTGTTACCTTTTCCTGATGTATATCCAAGTGTGAGAATCTACCCAGACAAGAACAGTGAAGAAGAATCCAGCAGCTAAACTAGCAATGAGCATATAGCTTAGGCCATACCTAAAACAAGTACATATTTAATCAGAAACAAAAATCTTTCACTTACTGAACATTTTACAGATTTTAGAAGAATCAGTATAAAAAGAAAAATAAGTTTTTTATAAAATGTTTTAGTCAATGCTCAATAACTTAAAATTTCATAAAATGGCAGCTCATTAATTCATACTCACAATCCTAAATCACAGACATTTCTAACAGCATTCAAATATTGCCTGTGCAAATGTTTGCAATCCAGAAGTGTAGCAAGTCCAGAGACCAGTCGATCCACAGAAGTGATAGCCGTAGTGAGGATGTCCAGTTTTGGGTTCAATTCACTAGGTTTATAGAGCTCCTTGGCCATTTTAGCAACCAAATTGATACCAGAAATCATAGCTTTCACAGATCGTTGACCCTGAATGATGCGTTGAGTAAATGGGTTTGTGCTATGAGTTTCACAACGGATGTAGTAAGTTAGAATTTCTACTTTGACGGGTGACACAGCTTCTCTTTCCAAGAATCCTTCAGGTGCCACACAGAGGTCTCCTAATGCCTACATTAAATGGTTGAATGACATTAGTAATAAACAAAAGAAATACTGCAGGTTAGTAAATATAAAGCACACTGCACAAATATAAAGTCAAGTAACGGAATTGAGAGAAAATAAATTATAGGAGGTCGTCCATAAAATTCATGATCTGAAGCAGAGTAAGAATCACCTAATATTATATCATTTAGAGGTAATTAGCACAATAAATTTTAAACAATCTTATTATGTAAGTTATAAAGAACACTCTTATACACATACACACAATGTGTTAACGTTACAAAATATTCAGTTAATCAGTACAATTATTCAGGGTGGCCAGCGAATCTGAAATCCTTGAAAACCGGGAATTCGAAAATACCTGGAAAAACGGGATTTTTTTTTTTTTTTTGAAATGCGGGATATTTTCGTCTTCTTCAAATTTATAGCCAACTTTAGAGCACATACCATACTTCATTGTATTTAGCAAAGTGCCTGATTCAACTCGATACAAGCTAATGGCGAATATTAAAATCAAAGTAGGGAAAATGCCACACGTATGTTTTTGGAATGCGAAGTCTTTGCATCCCCTCGACTCTCGTGTCACACGCATTCAAAGTGTGCAGCATGTGTAGATATAGCGGGAGTAGTGGGATAGCTAAGACCATATTTATAGTTGACTATTGCACGCGAACGGATGGGCTATTCGCGGAACAAGGGTTTTACCAGGAACTAAATCGCCACGTTTCGGTCATCGCCTCTTTTTTAGTGACATAAACGGAATCAGTCTGCTGTCAAACGAAACGTTTTAAATAATTTCTAAAATATTAATTTTAAAAGTATAACAAAAGCTTGAATATAAGTAACGAACAAAGAAAAAAAATCAACATGACGTTATTTGAAGATCTGTTTTCGACGAACACATTTTATTTAAAATCTCTTTATTAATTATCTTAATAATTGTAGTAGTAGGATGACGCCGAAAACATTTTGAATTTTTACAATTTTTGAAAAATCAATGTTTTTAACCAACATCAGACCTGCAATATTTTTTGAACGTCCTTCAGACTATCCGACAACAAAATTTCAGAAAAACCGATGGAACAGTTTTTGTGGAAATGTGGAAACAAAATTAAAAATTGCCTATATTTAACGCAAAATATTGCGAAAAATATTCAAATTTTCAAAAATTGCACCTGACCTTATTTCAAAATCTATCTTTAAGGAACAGATTTTATTAAGGGAAAAAATCTCTATCTTTAATATTTTAGTTGTAGGAAGACGCCGAAAAAATTGAATCTTTGCAATTTTCGAAAAATCAGTTTTCTACGAAAATGAGACCTGCATCATTCTCTTCAACATCCTTTACACTATCCAACAACAATTAAAAAAGATGGAGCCATTTTTTTGAAAATGTACTAGTGGCTTTTTGTAAAGATCCCCCCAAAATAAAAATATTGGTTTCAAATTTAAGGGGCCGTGACATTAGCAAGATCGATTGAGGAATTTCAATTTTGGAGAAAATCGCCTGAACTATTTAGCCGCTAGCGTTGTTCAGACAGATGGACGTTTTGCCGTCCATCGAGTTTTCGATATCAACGACGTTAGAAATATGGATTCTGGCTACACCACGGTTAGAGGATTTTTTTTTCTAAATTTAGCAACTGGATACATTCACTTTTTCGTTACCAGGGCCCTGTAATAAAGAGTTTTTCTGTCGAAAATTCACCGTTTTTTCGTGCAACATTACATAACTTTCTCTCTACAGCGGTAGCAACAACGTAAAAAGGATTGAAATTAGCAAAATAATTTAAAAAAAAAAAACATTCCAGTAATTTTGATCTTGCTAAGAAACTGTTTTCAAGAGGTATCATTGAAGACGAGTGTCATTTGTGTATAAAATGTACTTCAAGGAGAAAAAGAACCAATAACCACGCCTTAGAATAAAATGAATACAATTGTTTCTAACAAAGAAAAAACAAGTTTTAGAAAGGTATATATTTATATTCATACCACTGATGTTGCCAGGTACAACGATGCCATCAACCAAGAAATTATTACTGCAAAGAGGCCAAAGACTGAAAAACTGAAATTGAAAATCATAAAAATAACATTTGTTAAATACCTTAAATCAAATAAATCAACTAATTAAATAAGACGTAATCATGACAATAGAAGTTAAAATACATACGTGATTAGAGCACATCTTGAATGGCAAGCCACTCCAAAAAGGAGAACCACACAAAAGACCAGGAGGATGCTAAGTATTGCCATAGTGAGAGGCCATCTGCAAAAAATTACATCCTATAAATGTATTCAAATGTAATATACCACGTCGATCAATCAGTTTTGTTATTTTGGACAGCTATTCCTTAAAAACCATAAGTTTCTTTCACCTAATTGTTTCTGCTGTCTGCACCAAATCAATGGTATTTCGTAAACTGACATCCTGCAACGGTCGGCTAATATCCTGAGTACTAGTAAGTGCAGTGGACATATTACGCTGAACATTGAAGAGAGCATCAAGAAGGAGCCCACGTGCTGTTTGATTGGCAACAGGGATGTCAAACACATCACTCAGATCTGTGAGGAGAGGTTCCACTTGGCGATTGAGGGTTGTCTCAATAGAATTGGTCTGAAAAATAATGTATCATATTATGATTATGTATTAAAGGTTATAATCAATTGACTTTTTCTGACTACTTAATTCATTTATAGTTTGCAAAAGTGGTTATTATAATGAGTTCTGAATCTCAACGAAAGTTTGTTGAGAGGTAAGTAATTTTTATGGTTAAATGAATGTGGATATAATAAACGTTTTTAATTTTACCCTAAATTAGTTTTTTTTAGCAGAACTGAATATTATAAATTGATAATAATTTATGTAGAGTGCAAGATTTTTCTGCTGCAAAATTGTTTTTATATTATTAAAGACAATATTGACTCAGTAAAAAGACAAAAGTAGATAGAACATGCCATTTTAAAAATGAAACATAAATAATTGACATTTCAATTTTACTTTGTTAACAACACTACTGTTTGTGAAAATTGCAACACCCAGAAGGAATTGTCGGAATCACTTAAAAATCGGTGGATGTGTAAAATAGTGAGACTTTAAGTGATTAAATTTGAATAGAGATGGCGTGAACGTTGACCTAGAAGCGACCTCTTTTGTGTGACAGGTCACGTCAGTGTTACGCCACACCTAGTCGAACCCGTGTAGAGCCGTTGAACAACATGGAAACGTGCAAGTAGGTGCCAGAATGCCTTGTCGACTACAAAAGGCGCACTATCAGTATCTGAGTGAGTTCGAACGGGACAGAATGATCGGTCTCCAGGAAGCGGGTTTGTCATACCGTGTCATTGCGGTTCGAACGGGGCCCGATGCTACGGCATGTGTGGAACAAGTAGATAGATGAGGGTAGTACACAGCGACCGCGTTTCTCCTCATACGTATTGAGGACAAACTGAACAGCAACCTCTAGATAAGGGAGGTTTAAGAGCCAGAGATACTGACCATCCTGCAAGCATCTCCATATTCCTTAATTCCGTAGGACAATGCCCGGCCTCATGTGGCGAGGAATGTGTCAGCTTTCTGTGAAGAATTACGCGAACAACTGCTTCCCTCGCCCGCACGTTCGTCTGACTCGTCGTCCATCGAACATATGAATAGGGATGTGATCGGTCGGCAACTTGTTCGTTCCCGTCCTTTTGCAGTCACTCTCGATGCTTTGTGGTCAAGCATAGAAACTGCGTGACAACGTGGTCTCCAGCATATCCAAACTCACTTTCAATCCATGACACGACGTTTAGAGATATTAGCAGCGCGTGGCGGCTTCACATCGTATTAAATTCTTAAGGTCAATATGCAGGTACAGTTCTGTATTTCCAATCATTTGCATATGGTGATATTCCTAATCTGTGGAATAAATTTCATTGTAATACGAGTAGTATGTCTCCTTTTCTGGCGTTGCAATTTTCACAAACATCAGTGTAGTTAAAACAATTATTTTACTAAATTTATATATGTAACAAGTGTTGTTAATCTGCATCTGGATCAAGGTCCCCATCACAATTAGTTTCTTTTGTTTAGTTTATCTAGATCCATTGACCAAACGTGGACCCTTGCTTCCCTTCTGGACAAACATGTAATTTCACTATATTCGCACGTTTTATTGGACACAATTTTTGTTACACGTGGGAGGAGTGGTGGTTTATTTTTTGGTTCCTATTAGTATCAATTGAAATCTATAGATCAATTTCTCATACAAATCCTTGTCTAAGATATTTCCAGCTCAGAAGTACAACAACAATAATAATACTAATACTAATACTAATAATAATAATAATAATAATAATAATGAAAAGAGCTAGTAATTTAAATATCATTTATTGCAATTTTTGTTCAGCCTGACACTAACAAGAATGATGTGCGGAAGTTGGTGCTTCAAGAGCACAATCCATAGTTGGTGCTTCTTCGCGTTCTTTCTAACTTTTGCAAGCTTTGAAAATTCAGAGAATTCAACGAAAATACGACCTGTCCAATATTTCAAGCATCCTTTGCTCTATACAACTACGTGAAAAATATATAACGGAAAAATTTGGATCCGTTTTCCATTAAATACTTGTTAATAAATTGCATGAATTTCATGCAGAAATTAAGCGAAAACAACTAATTGCTTCAAAAATATGATATTTTCTAAAGATCCAACTTGGTAAGTAAGTAGACTTACGTATCAAAGTGAGAAAATAAAAATGATAAAAACTTTAAATCTGCTAAATTGACTTTTCAAAAAGCCTAAAATGACGTTGACCCCATTCTGAAAATTCAGGCATTATGCATTCTATTTACGATTAAGTTCAACCTATATTATCTGTTTTCTGGCCAGTTTTATGAGTCGCAACTACAACCACCTACAAATTGCACCACTATTGATGAGCAGTCAGCTCCTAGAGTCACTACTGTTAATAAAGATGTAGTCTCTTGTAACATAGTGGATAAATGTACATTCCGTAGCCTCTCCTAAAAGAAATAAGGCAATGCTGTGGCTGAAATGAAATAAAGACATACCTGGTTCTTGACACCTGTTATGATATCGTCGATGGAGCGTGCAGCTGCTATAAATTGCACAAGAGCGTTGTGGACATCATCGTTGCCGTACAGATCGAAGCCTACAGCCGTGCTGCAAAGGAAGATACAAGATGGTAAGTCAGGAAATGGAGTTGTAATTTATAAAGTAAGAGCACCCCCCCCCCCAACTAATACTGTAAACCAAGATAAAGAATAAACCAATATCTCTAATAATCTCCACTCCGCTGAAATGCGACAAGCACAGGAAAGGCGCGTTATGGACACATTCTTATATCAACATTATTTCGAACTTCAAAGGTGTTCACAGAAGGGGTGAAGGGAATGGTTCCCCCATACAATTATTAACACCTATTGTACAGATTTTACGTCGCTCAACCGTAAACAGTTAATTACTGTACTACATAAATTAGGAAAATTAACTATTTAAGAGCTCATATATAATTTTGTGTCACACACAACTCTGCCCAAATATTCAAAATAATAATTCGTTTTGATAGATTAGTTGTGTACAACTATGTGACTGTTTCATTTACTTTACGGCCTTTATACAGTAGTCATCAGTTTTTTTAAGTTTGCAAATTATGTTTTGAAGAGCCGTCAATGAAGACACCTTTAGACAGGAGTCATTGATGCTTGGATATCGTCTATCGTTAACTGTAACATTGACGAATTAAACTTAATTTGAAAAAGAAAAGGAAGAAAAGAAGGAAAAACACCCCCTTTCTAAATAGTTGTTCTCAAACTAAATCATGTTATCATAACACGAGTTGCATGCGTTGAAAGCTGGAAACAAAGCTGGATGATATTAATGAAAAGCGAATAAATATCAACTTTTGAAAAAAAGAGTTACGGGATGGAATAAATCGAATTCTAAATGCAAGAAAATATGACCATCAGGAGTTAGTTTTTAAATCAGCAAACACGAAGCGCTCTTCACAACGCAATGAGTAATAGAAGTACAGCGACAAATGACACAAAACTTTGCAGCAAATGTGTCACAACACAGTTCCATAATGCACGTAATTTTATTAGAATATTGTGTTAAAGTGACCTGTTATTTTTTCAGAACGGATGTAGGGAGGCGTAATGCACGCGCAGAGTATTATAATTGACTGACTAATGTTTCCAGATAGGTAAATTGCTACAATAATTAGTCCCATTAGTGTAGTGAATGTCTTCTCGCGGGAAGTTGCGGGGTTCCTCTTGCTCTAAATGGTGAGAACCAGCACAGATCGGCTTACGAGGGGGGGGGGGATGGTCCCCCTCCAGGTATTTCACCAAGCGTGGCATTGCCACAACCAGGACAAGCTGTAAGCTCCCGACATATGTGGTAGTGTGGTGATTGATTGTTTAGTGATTCCCAGCACGTGAACTAACAGTGTCATTAGTCCCGCAAATGCAGTGCATGTTTTTGCTCTGGAGGTGGCGGTGATCTTTCCATCGCTGTATCCCTCGGAGCACGGGTAACGAAGAAAGGTGCGGAGTGTGTGTGTGTGTGTGTGTGTGGGGGGGCTGTAGGCACTAGTGTGCTGGGTGCTCGCACGTCGGAGCGCAGTGTGCAAGGAGCGGGGAGCGGGGACAGAGCGCGGGTGGCGGGTTATGGTAGAACGGACCGAAAAGGCGTCGACGCGACAGGCGGATAGGAGAGGATCACTCAGGAACCAAAATGGAGGGTCAAAAGGGATTAGCGAGGCATGGATGTAAGGTGCGAACTGGTATACGGACAGTGATGGAGGTGGGGAGGGGGATACAAAGGTGCGGGGCATCCCGGCGCCAGAGCGCAGGATTCGGGGAGCAGGGTGCGGGAGGTATGTACGGGTACGATGTACGGAGGAAGGTACTGTATAAGGAGTTGGTAGTAACGGATGTGGAATGCGAGCTGCAGGGCTCAGGCTTGCCGATGGTTTCGGATGTGAGGTGACATGCTCGAAGCGCGGGCCTCGGGAGTGGAGTGTTTAGTGTGGGGTGTTTAGTGTGGGGTGTTTAGTGTGGGGTGTTTAGTGTGGGGTGTTTAGTGTG